CCTCCCACTGAGGTGACACAAATTGCCTGGGCTACACAGTTGAGAGTGTAGAATTCACTTGGAATCCCACCTTACAAGGTGAGAAATCTGCTCGGAGGCAGGCTGCACTTCCCATGTGAGGTTGGGGAGATGACCGATGGGGTTTGCATCTTGTCAACTAAGGGGAAAGTGATCAATGCCAGGGATCCCTTTTTCTCAGCCCCAGGCCACCCATATTCAGCCCTGTCCCCTTCTCCCACCTCTGAATTCTGGGAATGACACATTTGGGGAGCATAAGCAAAACAGTAGCCAGAGCCTCACCCCAGAACAATCTCCTTTTCTTTGGAAAAGTGCATCCAAAGCTGCTGAACAGCACTCATCTATTGTTACTGAATGTCTTCACTGTGTGCTGGGCAGTGTCTGTTCTCAGAGAACTTACAGCCCAATGTAAGCAGATGGACAGAATATGGCATGGTAAGTGTTACAGAATAAAGGTGTGGATGCTCTGAGATCACAGAAAGGGGCATTTGACCAGCCTGCTGGGGGCAGTGGAGGAAACTTCTTGGCACCGGCCAGGCTCACACTGCCGCCCGCAGTTGGCTTGGTCTGGGAGGACTTACAAGTCCTTCTGCGAGGCCAGCTCTATGGTTTCTTGAGAAACCACGATGAATGGGGGTCTGTGGTAGAGTCTTCTCTCATTGCTTTTCCATGAAATGAACCTCTGAGTTGGGTTCTGATAGAGATGAAGACCAGCCCAAGAGGACCATTCAGAGGAGGACTTTATGGGAGGAGAAGAATGATAGAGGACAGACAACTGTACAGTCATGCAAGCCAGAAACTCTCTGCTGTGCCAGGAAGTGCAGGCGATTACCTATTACTGGGCTGCAGAACTCTAGAAGTGGAGAGAAGTGGCAAGGTAAAGCCAGACAGGCTTTACCAGTGGGGGCCAGCTCCAGAAGAGTTTCACATGACTGGTCAAGTCATTCGAGCTGTTATTTAGGCAAAAAGGAGTCTTTTAAGGATTTTAAGCAAGAGAGTGACATGTTTAGATTTGGATTTTAGCCAGCCTACCTTGGCTGCCTTCTGCTGGAGGCAAGACTAGAAGGTGAACTTGGAACCTCACAGGCCAGTTAGGAGGTTCTGGGTGGTATAGGTGAGAAACAATGGGGGTGTTTCTCTTGGAAAGAGCACAAGCCCTCAGTCTGAGCAGCATTTCTTTGCAGGCTGGGAGAGAGCACGGAGCTCTGCGGATGAGGTTTCATGCACCAGGTACAGCTGAAAATACCCTACTTTGCATTTTATGATCAGTTTGTATTTTAGCATCTTTATGTGTTTGGCAATTGACTTACTGTATTTACCAATCTGTTTCTTTTTTTTTTTTTTAATATTTTTATTTATTTCTAGGAGAGAGAGAGAGAGACAGCATGAGCAGGGGAGGGTCAGAGAGAGAGGGAGATACAGACTCTGAAACAGGCTCCAGGCTCCAAGCTGGCAGTCAGCACAGAGCCCGACGCGGGGCCCGAACCCATGAACCGCGAGATCATGACCTAAGCGAAAGTCGGACGCTTAACCGACTAAGCCACCCAGGCGCCCCTTACCAATCTGTTTCTTTGCTGAGCATCAACAGCTGTGGCACAGAAGTGGTTGTGACTCGTCATTGTCAATAAAGCCTTCCAAGATGTGCTTGTGATCATGTCCCTGGCTGGAGTATTTGGTCATGAGGTAGCAAGAGGGGCAAATAGGACAGGTTCAGTAACTGGTTCCTTGTTGCCGTCTCTACAGCTGACATTTGCATGTGAGGGACGCATGAAAGTGAGCTCTAAGTTGTCTTCCAGCCTCAGAGCTTCAAAGCAAGACATCCCTGTGATTGTGTGCCAGGCCTTGCCTATGGCACTGGCCAGGCTCACAGTGCCGCCCGCAGCTGGCTTGGTCTGGGAGGACTTACAAGTCCTTCTGCGAGGCCAGCTGTATGGTTTCTTGAGAAACAACAATGCAAGGAGGTCTGTGGTAGAGTCTTCTCTCATTGCTTTTCCACGAAAGGAGAGGGCTTGGTCCTGCCCGATCACATTATCTGTGAGCCATCAAGCCTGGCACTGCACAGATTCTCGTGATGCCACTCTTCAGGTGTCGCTTATTTATTTATACAACCCTCTACCATTTGGGGCAGGGCCCTGGTGACCGCCTCTGGGGCTGGCAGTAATTATGGCATTCTGCAGGGAGGTAGCACACTCATCATGTTCTAGCCATCTTTCCTGGCCTTGCCTTTGATCCAGCTGTTTGTTGGGAAAGTAGCCATTAGGAGATGTGTATCTTTGGTTTCATTTACATGGGAGAAAAGAGAATTAAATTGGCAAATGGATGGTTTCATGTTTTCAGAGATGGCCTCCACCCAGTCTGTGCCCAGAGTGCTCAGAGCAACCCAGGAGAGCACCGGCCCCTGACTCACACTGCCACAGAGCCATGAGAGATCTGAGACTGAGACCCTACCCCTGAAAGGAAGGCACAAAAAGTGGGGTGCCTTCTGCATGTTGTGCACTCAGGTGTAGGAAGATGTTCTTCATTCTTTTTGTGTTGTTTTGTTTTTGTTCATTAAGCAAATAAAGACTCTGGGTGGTTTCTGAACTATTCCTGATTATATAATTTTTTTCCCACTACATGGGAATAAAAGCTTACTAATGAAAATATGAAGGCTAGTGAAAATAAAAATACTCCACAGGTTACCATAACTCCATTGTCCTAAAATAACTACAATGTTGACAAATTTCCATTATTATTATTATTATTATTCATAGAATGTTTTGGTTAAATATAATTGCTTTTATACTATACCTCCAACTGGGGCCTTGCTATTTTTCCCCTTTAGTACATTTTAATAATTGCATAATGTTTCATCAAGTAAATAGATCTAAATGTATTTAATCAAATTGCTGTTAGATATTCAAATTGTTTCTAAATCACACTGTGATAATCCGCTTTACATAGCTTTTTTTTCTATTTTGGAAAAATTTTTCTTTCTAAGACATGGAACAACAGTTGTGTCCAAGGATTTTATACTTTTGATATATATTTCTATATTCGTCAAATTCTTTTTTAAAAGGAGTTTTGTCTACTTATGTTCTCACCAACAATGGCACACTCTTTAGCACTGGAATTCTCAGATTTATTATTTAAAAGCGATCATTAAATAGATGGAAGAGGCTGGCACCATATCATGCTATTTCCTCTGTCTCTCTCTCTTCTCCATCTTTTCTCCCACACTTCCTCCCTCCTTTGTGATTTCTACTGAGGTTCAAGAGTTGTCCATCTATTATCAACAGTTGACCACAAGTTCCCTAATGCCCTAAACGAGGCTTCCAGAGGCTCCCAGTGTCCAGAAGTTACCTCTCTGCAGGGCCCCTGAGATTCTAAGGCCTCTTCACATCCAGAAAACGAGAGGTTGTATGCCTACAGCCTTGCCTAGCTCTCATATCCTAAAAGTCTGCTTCTGCAGCCAGCTCATTTTATGACTTGGTCTGATGAGAGTCCCACGTGTCTTGGGCACATTTTGGACTGTTTGTACTTACTGCACCTTTGTGGTTCTGAACCAGCTTCCAGACTCAGAAGGATAGAAAGCTGTTAATCCGTCATGATTCCATAGGTAACCAGCCCAGATTTCTTACCGTGGCAGGAGAGAATCCTAAACCCACTTCCACTTGAATTTTGTGGGTTGTAATGACAAACTGGTTTGGTTTGTGTGTCAAAGCTCTCTTAGCCACTTGGTCATAGGGGCAGGCTCAAGCACTACTGGGCAATTAGGTTTCTTTTTCTGAAAGTAATAGGAGCATCTAAAGCCCAACTTGCCAACAAGCTGAGTCTGCACCTGGCTAAGAACCTTACCATACGAAGGGAGTCCTAGGAAAGGAGCAGAGCCACCCTGAAGATGAGTAGAGACTGGTGGAGATGAGGGAGCTTGAAATGGTGGCCATGCTCCAAAGCCCTAACATCCCAGTTCTTACAGTTCTAATTCTATGCCCTCCTCTCCACCCTCATACCCTTCCCAGCAATATATTCCCTTTTGTGAATTAAACAAGTGACTTTCCCTAGCCACTTGTAAATAATCCCCACTTTACAACTGTGAATACTTTTCCTGTTTATTCCTAATTGAGGTCCTTCCAGATTTATCCTTTTGTGTGTGCTGAAGTTTTCCTTTAAAAATTTTATAGATTCATAGGAGGTTGCCCAAATAGAGCATCTTTCACAGGAATTCTCTTCGTGGCGACGTTACAAAACTAAGGTTCACTGCTGACATTAGTGTAGTCCACAACTTTAATTTTTAAAAGAGTACCTATCTGTGCTTACAGGTATAATTTAGTATCTAACTATTGCCTCAGGAGACCTACAGTCTAGTAAGGAAGAAAGGCACTGGGAAATTATGTTCAGGTGTGACATGTGAGACCTGGGAAGGTGCTGTGTGCTCCCCTCTGAGGGCTGGCTGTGTTCCAGTAAATCAGGTGCTTGGGCACATGTTCACCCCCTAAGCCTCATGACAACCTTGTAAGCTGATGGCTAGCATCAACACTCTTTATATAGAGAGACGGAAACCAAAGAGCAGAGCAGAGCTAGAGTTTAAGCCCACACGGCCTGTTTTCAGAGTATTCTATCCAAGCATTATGCAGTGGGACTAATAGATGAAGGTAGAATTTTTCCTGAGCCTTTCTGGACCTTTCACCAATGTCCCACTCCTCTTTCCCCCTAATGCCCCTCTCTTCCTCTGTCATGACTACTTGAGCTCCTGAGGTGAACGATTGTAACGACCATATTTATAGCTCTCTCAGACCACATTCTCTGGATGCGCCCCTCAGGAGATGCCACATCCCTGTATGCAGTAGGTGGGGTCAGAGGGGAAGCCGCTTTCAAAAGTTGTTAATTGTAGAGTGAGGGTTCTAGCCTCTTGATTGCATCTTGGTGCTTTAGTGCTAGAAAACAACAAACAACCCAAAAGTTGCAGACAGACAGAAAAATAAAAGGGCCAGGAGAAGAAAGCCTTGCACAGCAGAGGAACATGTTTACTTGTCAGTTCATGGCTTCAGCTTTCAGCACCAAGATGGTGAACATGGTGGAGATGTTGAAAGTAGTGGGTGGAGTGGTACCCTTGGTGCCTCACTCTGGGGGTGGGCAGGGTGGTGGGCATTTAGGAGGACAGGGCTTTACACAGGGCTTGGGAGGGCAGGTAGCTGGGCATGGAGGAGGACATGGTGGGCACTTTGGTGGTTGTGGGCACTTCTCCCGTGGGCACTTCTCAGAGCACCGTTGCAGCAGTTTCTTTAAACAGCTGGGCTGGCATTTGTTCTCACATTTTTGTTCACACTTGGGATCACAGTTCTTGGGCTCATTCTTGGGTTCAGTAGATTTATTTTTATCATCACTCGACATTCTGTTTTGATTCTCTGGGCCCTGTAAAGAAATATGCAACAGGTGGTATGTGGGAGACCATACTGCAAGGTAAGAGAGGACCAGCAAAGTCTTCCCACTCACATCTCCTGCCCATCCTTGCTCTTATGAAAACTTTGCCAGGGTGGTTCTGGCTCTAGACCGAATTCTCATTTAAGGGCTGTCCTCTTGTCCTTGGAGTGGATTGGTGACATTTCTTGGTCTCCCCACCCTTACTCTGCTTTTTGTTCACTTACTCTTGCTTCCATTCCACATCCCCCAATAGGAATTCTCAACCTAGCATCCTGGAACTCCCCTCCCCCATGATAAAACCATATTTAATCAGGGGCGCCTGGGTGGCTCAGTCAGTTAAGTGTCCAACTTTGGCTCAGGTCATGACCTCATGGTTCGTGGGTTCGAGCCCTGCATCTGGCTCTGTGCTGACATCTAGCTCAGAGTCTGGAGCCTGCTTCAGATTCTGTGTCTCCTTCTCTTTCTGCCCCTTCCTCACTCACACTCTGTCTCACTCTGTCTCTCAAGAATAAATAAATATAAAAAAATAATAAAAAACCCATATTTAATCATATATTTATCAATTTAATTGCTATCTTTTGTAACCTCATGTGTTTTAGTCCATTCAAATGTACTATTCTGAACTCATGAGTTTGGTCAGACAGCTAAAGGCATTCATGGCATAGCAAGGGTTTTAAAGAACTCCTTCAGGGCCACTTCTATCTGGGGATGGAACAAGAGAATATAATAGGGGGTTTAGGTACTTCTTTAAATCCTGTGTCCTGCCTAAAACCTCAAAGCCTTGATTTCTTCACTTGAGAACTAGGGATGGGAAGATAATTCAATCTCTACCATGGCTGAACTCCCGTGGGCCATGATGGGCCTCCTCCTCTCCATGATTACAGGAAGAGAAGTAGTCAGGAGATGAGGAGATGAGCTGGGAAATTCTAATTCCTCTGAAAATATGAATGTGAGAGCCACAAAATATAATTTTAAGGAAGAATTTTCCCCCCTCTGTTAAATTTTGGCCTGACCTAGGTTTTCTTGTATGGATGGTTTGGCTTCTAGGTATGAAGAGGGCTCTTCAGTCCCTGACAATATTCATAAGTTGTATCTAACTGGTATACCTTTGGTTTCCTTTAAGAATATAAAAGTAAACTTTTATCTAAGTTAGTTTTAAAATCAGTATGGCTCTCTAGAGAAATAGATTATTAAGTTAAACTCCAAAATTGTTAAGAATATCTCTTTCAAAGGGGGCAAAGCCCAGTTATTGCTACCAAAAATGATAGGAAGATTTCATTCAAAAATAGCCATCATCTCAACCCTGTTGAATGCCTGACTGCTGTAGGTCACTCTCAGGAAAGGAGAGTAACAAGATGGGGCATTTCCACTTATCCAAATACAACTCACCCTTTTGTATTGGTAATGAACTTGACAAGTAGTCGAGTGAGGTGGATGGTATTTCTGTGCTTGAGAAGATGGATTTTCCCTCTGGTTCCTCTGCTCAGCTCTGAGGAAGCTGGGAGGTGGGGGAGGGGTAGCCCCAGTTGTGACCTCATCACTGCATCATCAGGTAGTGATTGTTCTGTGACTCCCGAGCTCCTAGTTCAAATCAAGCCCTTGAAAATAGACTGCTTATTTACCCCCTTTGCTGTCATTCAAAATTCATACTGACGAAATCAGACCATGATGAATACTACTGAGCTCCAAGGATAGGAAGGCTTATTGCTGTTAGTAGCAGAAAAATTCTGTTTACACTTGATCCCTCCTTCCTCCCAAATTTTGAACTTGCTCCTTCTCCACCTTTCTAGTAGAGCTTCCTGGATTGCTCATAGCATTTTGATTTTCTTCTCCTTCCTAGATTCTAATATGAGATTCTGAAACCTCTTTTTACCACTCCACACATCCTAGCCTGAGTCCAGGGATTATTTCATCTCTTTTTCTGTGTTTCTGCCTATATTTCACTGATTGTTGTGCTTTGCAATTGTTTTTACAATTAGGGAGTGGCTATCCCTTGATATCCAAAATAAACCCTGCTTATTGTATAGAGCTTGATGCTCCTGACAAGTTCTGACATACTGCATTAACCCCAAATCCTGTCTTAAGGTAGACAGGTTTGTCTCTGAGAAAATTCTTTCCTTGCCTTTCAAAGGTCTGGCCAGTGGGTCTCAGTGGTTTGTCCAGGGGTGTATCTGGGGGTGGTATTAGGGGGTTGGTGTGGGAAAGGCAAGTGGGTGGGATACATAGTGTCTTGGACTCAGGAAGTTCATTTTGGCAGTCATTCATTGACAGCCACAAGTGACTTTTGGTTAAAATTGTGAAATGATTGTCTAAGGTGTTGACAGAGATTTCTGACAGCAAAGTGTGGGACGTACTAGAGGATGGAGCAGTGGAGCAAAAGGTGCAGTACATAGTGCACACTATTTCAAAAAGATTATAAACATCTTGAAGTCTGAAGGAAGGCAGTGGTAGTGGTAGGGAAAGGGCGCCCCTGAGAGAAGCATCATCAGAGAAGTATATTTATAGGATTCAGTTAATGGGAAATTTAGAATAAAAGTATGAAAGATGACTCCCAGGTATTGTTAATGGTTGCTGAGGAAACAGAACATGTGCGTGTTAGAAAAAGATGAGTTTGAGTCTGACCATGCTGAGTGTGGTCGCATGGGAACATCTTAAATGGTTATTGGAAATGTGGCTCCTACCCTGTGCCACTGAGCAGACTGAGACCTTGAGTTCTATTCAGTAAAACAGGTGTTTGCTGAGTGGATAAGAATGAGAGAGGACTGGAGGAGAGAAGGGAAAAGGTCCTGGGGAGGAAGAGGAATCCCAGTATAGGGTTTATTTGGTATTTGCAAAGGATAAAGAATGTCATACACAATTGAAACCCAAATGAACTGAAATGAAAGGGGAGAGTGGGCAGAATTTAACCTCTTGCCACCCATTGTCTTGGGTATAACAGCCTATCCCTCCATCCTCATTTTCTTTGCTCTATAATTTTCATAATTATGAGCTCTAGCTCTTCAAAGCTGTTGAGAAGCAATTTCTGCACCCATCTCAAGAGACTCAGCTCCACCTGCTGTTCAGCTCTGGAGAGAAGCTAGCAATCTGATTATGGACAAGGCAGTTATTTGTGATAGTTATGTCAAAAGATGTAGTGATATCTACTGGCCATTGTCTGGCAGTTTCCTCTTCACTCTCTCCTTTCTTACCTCTCCTATTTCTTGCTCATGAAATTCTCACTGAATGAAAGTATGTCATCCATTGGACTTCCACTAGGACATTTGTCCGTTATTGTTTCAGTCTTTAAAACCCTCCCCTAAAGGCCAAGACTCCAGGCAGTATTATGTTTAATCTCCCAGCTTTCAGCCTCACCTTTGGTTCAGCGTTTGGCCAACAACTGACTGACAGCAAGGCACTGCTGAGGTGAATACAGGACAGCCTCTGGAGTTGCTGGCCTCAGAGGGAGAGAGGCTTGAAGGGGAGAAAACCCCCAGGTTAATAGTGAGGACCTTGGAATCAGACCCTGGGCTCAAATCCTACCTTCATTTTTTTTACTTGCCAAATGACCTCTAGTAATTGACTTCACTTTCTAAGTCTCAGTTCCCTCATCCACAGAATGTGACAGTAATAGCACCCATTTTAGGACTGTATATAACTTATGCTGAACACTCACAACAGGCACATTTCCAAGTGTAAAGCCTACGCTCTCACCCAGAATACTACCTCACTTTACTCAGGGGTTGCTATGAAGATTAAATGAGATTCTGCAAATGCAGAGCCCCTGGTAAATGTTTGCTGTGCATGCATACTATTATTTTTGTCAGTGCTTTGCTGGCCTCTTTCATCCCTTGGCTTGCTGGTTCTCCTCTCTACCCCACTATCTTGTCCCTGAAATCCCACTTCTCCATATCATTTTTCCTGCCTTCCAAAGTTCCTGATGGTGTTCACAGGAAGATTAGATATTTCAGTGTTCGTGGATGATTTCAGTTTTGAGTAATGATGTAAGAGTTGATGTAAGTGTGATTGATAACATAGTAATGTAAACATCTACTAGGTCAGAAAGGCAGACCATTCAGCGGTTTATCTTTGTGGGCCTGAAGACCCTGTCTGGCTGCTTATTTTACCAGGACAGGGCTTCTACGTGTCAGCAGTTTAACTTCACTTGGATCTCTCTCTCTCTCTGTTTTTTAGGTGAAGTCTTCTTTTTCTGTCTTTTTTCATCTCTCTGTGTTAATTTCAGAAAATAACTCTATTCCTCCCCTTGGTGCCTCTTAAGACCTTCTTTGAGAGGCCGGCTCTTCCCTTCCTCCTGGGATGAAATCTCTAGCATATGAGAGACTTTTAGAATTATGTTTAGACAATAAGTTCTCTGGTCACTCCTATTTATTCTAAACAATCTTGTTTTGTAATCAGAGGTATATTTGCTAGAATTAAGATGGTGGAGAAGTAGGGGGACCCTGAGATTTCCTCATCCCTCAAACACAGCTGTATTGAGGTCAGATCACTTGGAACACCCAGGAAATTGATCTGAGGAGTTGTAGAAGGATCTCCATAGTTAGAGAGAGACAGCTTGGCAGGTGTGAGCTGTGTGGAAGTGAATTGGGGGAGGGAGGGAGGAAAACTGGCTGTGACATTGAGGGGAGGGAACCCTTTCTGTGGAGAGACAAAAGACAGAGAGAGAGCGGTTGAGAAAGTGCAGCATAGAGTTGGCCCAAGAGGAAAACCTCTCTGGACCACAGACTGGGGAGCAAAAAGTACTGACTGTTGTAGATTTTTTGTTGTTTGTTTGTTTGTTTGTTGTTTGCGAACAGCATTTGGAGCTCAAACACTGAAGCTGGGAAATGCATGACTTTCCTGGAGTGGAGCTGTTGTGAGTGCTCCTGGGGAGAAGGAGGGCATGGTGTAGGGATCACCAGGCGCACTGGGAAAAAACATTCCCCATCCTGGAGTACTTTTGGAAGAGGGTATACTGCCTCCCCAAGGATAAAAGACCCTACAGATGCCAGTAAAAAGCCTTTCGCCAGCAGGAGACAGAGGTGCCTCAGAGAGGATATAATCTTTGCTGCTATTAGTGGTGCTACACCATGGATTCTCCACACTATAAAGGCCTGAGACTGTTTTTCAAGGACAAGAATTCAGATACAGAATGGAAAGGTTCTACTCTGGAGGAGGGAGGGCAGACCATGCAGTGCCAGGTCCTTTAAGGGTTCAGACTTCGAAGCCCAGCCACATGTCAATGAAAAATACAGGAGAGCTGTGGTGCAGGGCAAACTGACTGCCCTTGCTATTCTGTGAGGGCTGCATAAACAGTGTGGGCATGAGACCCTGGTCTGGAGACGAGAGATTGGGATGGCTCCATTTTTCCCCCAAACCCAACACAATGGGACCTCAGAGAGCATCACAGTGACCCCCAGTGGAGGCTGGACAAATCATCTAAGTAGAAAATCAACAAGGAGACAATGGTTCTGAATGACACACTTGGCCAGATGGACTTAACAGATATATTCAGAACATCTCCTCCTAAAGCAGCAGAATACACATTCTTCTCAAATGCGCATGGAACAGTCTCCGGAATAGAGCACATACTAGGTCACAAATCAGGCCTCCAAAGTACAAGATTGGATTATGCCCTGCATATTTTCTGATCACAACGCCATGAAACTTGAAGGCAATCACAAGAAAAAATATGGAAAGCCCTCAAATACATGGAGGTTAAAGAACATCCTACTAAAGAATGGTTATGGTTAACCAGGAAGTTAAAGAAGCCATAAAAAATACTTGGAAGCCAATGAAGATGAAAACATGAGAATCCAAACCCTTTGGGGGGTGCAACCAAGGTAGTCCTAAGAGGAAAATGTATTGCAATTCAGGCCTATCTTAAGAAGCAATAATTGTCTCAAATACACAACCTAACCTTACACCTAAAGGACTTAAAAAAGGAGCAGAAAAGAAGCCTAAACCAGCAGAAGAAGGGAGGATTAGAGAGTAGAAATAAATGGTATAGAAGCAACAACAAAGACCACTAGAACAGATCAATGAAACTAAATGCTGGTCTTTAAAAATATTTGATAAACTCCTAACCAGACTTCACAAAAGGAAAAGAGAGAAGACTCAAATGGATAAAATCACAAATGAAAGAGAAGAGAACAAAACCAACACCACAGAAATACAAGCAATTACAAGAGAATACTATTAAAAAATTATATGCCAACAAACTGGGCAATCTGGAAGAAGTGGACAAATCCCTAGAAGTTCACAAAACACCAAAGTTGAAACAGGAAGAAATAGAAAATTTGAACAGACTCATAAAAGGAACAAATTGAATCAGTGATTAAAAATTTCCCAGCAAACATGAGCCCTGGGCTGTATGGTTTCCCAGGGTCATGCTACAAACCATTTAAAGAAGAGTTAATACCTATTCTTCTCAAACTTTTCCAAAAATTAGAAATGGAAGGGAAGCTTCCAAGCTCATTGTATGAAGCTTGATTTCAAAACTTTACCTTGATTCCAAAACCAGACAAAGACCCCACTAAAAAGGAGAA